CGAACACAGCAGTTTCACACTCTGTCCTCTGCTAATGTACAGAAAGGATTAGATCATATGAATTTTGGGAACAACCAATCCATTGTAACAGTTATTGCAGTAAAACTGAGGATAATCCGGACTGGTGGTTTTTCTTTATGATCATTGTGCGTTTCATGCAGGTTCCAGTCCCAAAAAGAAGTTATTTTCTGGCCTTGATTTTCACTATTGAGGAGATCACATCAAACCCCCATGTTTTACCCAATGTGACCTTAGGAGTCGACCTGTTATAATGTAATCAGCGTAATCTGGTGGTGATTTGGTATGCATTCTAAGCCTGCTTGCTGGACAGGAAAAGCTTTCTAGCCTCTCTATCATTTCATGGGGGGGGGGTTGGGGCCAGAGCAGAGACAGGCTGTGACGTCACAGGGCCAAGAGTACCCCTGTTGAGAAGTGACGTCCTACCTCCTCTCCTGAAGTGAGGGGGGGAGGTGGAGCCTGTAGCCAATTTCTGGGGGACAGACTCAAAACTAAAGAAACCCAGAAACAGCGAAGGACGCAGAGAGAATGAGAGATGGAGAATGATGGAGACAGAGACAAAAATGCTGCAAAAAAAAAAAAAAGAGAGAGAGATACAAAGATGAGTGAGAGAAGCAAAAAGAGACAAAGAAGGGCAGAGGGAGACACACAGAGAACAGAGATGTAGAGAGGAATAGGCACAGGGACACAACCAGGGAAACAAGGTGGGGGAGGGAAAGACGCCCAGAAAAAAGAAAAAAAAACAACACACAGCAAAACAGACAGGAGGGAGACAAGGAGAGAGGCATACAGACACCAGGTGAGAGACAGAGACACGGACAGAAAGCGAGACACACAGAAAGACCTAGGGAAAAAAGAGATACTGAAAGAGGCAGAGATAGTCAGAGACAAAGAGACATCTGAGAAAGGCAAAGACACAGAGAGAGAGAGAGAGAGAGAGAGAGAGAGAGAGAGAAACCAAGAGAAATAGAGATGCAGTGAGCCACGCAGAGAACAGAGACAGACAGGGACAGACTGACGCAGGTGGAGACAGAGACAGAGAAGGAGGGCAGTCAGAGCGTGGAGAGACACCCAGGGAGAGAGAAACAGGAAGAGATAGCCACACCCCTGTAATCAGCTTGTCCTTGGTCCGATGAGCCCTGATTAGGGGGTGGGGGCGGGGAACCTCTCCATCTGCTGCTGCCTCTGCTGGGCCCCCAATCTGTCCAGAGGAGGGCACCCCCCTCCCACGTGCACACAGGCTCACTGTGGCCATCGCCATCCCTGCTACCCAAGGTCTTTGCCATCTTCGCCTTTGCCACATGCGGCAGCTACAGTGGGGAGCTCCGGCTGAGCGTGGAGTGTGCCAACAAGACGGAGAGTGACCTCAGCATCGAGGTTGAATTTGAGTACCCCTTCAGGTGTGACTCCTCTCTGGGATCCCAATTGACATGAGAGAAGCAGGGGTGGGGTGGGATGTGCCAGAACCTCTTCCCCCCAGGGGCCCCTGCCCAGCCCCCACCTCAAGAGGCCGCATCCACTTGGATCACCACTGGTGCACTGAACACCTGCCTTGTACCTGGCACTGCTCTGGATATCTGGGACCATGTAATAAGCAAGACAGGCATATATATATATAATATATATATATATCTTAATACAGCAGGTGCTCAGTTAATGTTAGCCAATATTATTTAATCTCCATTCATGCATGCATTCCATACACATTTTTTGAGAACCTGTTCTATGCCAGGTACTGCGCAAAGTATTAGGGACACAAAGGTGACTCAAACATACCAAACTCCCTACCCTGCATGATAACAAATGCACGAATTAAGAAGATAATTGCAGATCGAGAGAAATTCAAGGAGGGGCTCCTCATGCAGTTTCCTATACAGGGTAACGACAGGGCAGTGGTTAGGTTCAGGAGCTGATGAAAGCCCCCTGGACAACTGTGACGCTCACTGAGCTCACACTGGGTGCTGGGCGCTAGCTGCACGAGAGTGCACACAGGCTGGTGTGACCACTACGTCCCAGGGCACAGAGAGACAGAGCCACAGACAGTTTCAGGAGAGGCATCTAAGGCCCCTCCACTACTTAGCCAAGTCACAGAACTGTACTGGCTCTCAACTTCCTCATCTGTGAAAGGGGCTAATGAGACCCACTTCACAGGGTGTGATGAGCATTGAATGCCCCTCCGAGAGGGGAGACGAGGACAGAGGCAAACGAAAAAGGACGAGAAGAAGGGAGGGAGGAAGAGAAGAAGGTGCGGTGGAGACGGAGAGGCCTCCGCCATAAAAGCCACCAGGGGACGTGCAAAAGCGAAAAGGAGAAACAAAAAAGCCGGAGACAGAGAGGAGGAAGAGAGGCGGCAACGAGAGGACAGTGAAAGACACTACGTGCCAGAGAGCAGGAATATAGAGAGAGAGAGCGC